AAAGGGAAACCTTCACCGGTGTTATGGAAATGCAGGTTTCTGCACCTTTGAGCAGCCAGTTAGCAGAAAAAAACAGATCAGAAAAAGGCAAAAATCAAGTTTAATTCAAATAATTGAAAATTTGTAGAGAAAACCAATGACAGATGCTTTATTCTGACTGCTTTATCTTCTCTGGGTTCCAATTTGCAGCGTTTTGGCTGCATTAAGCTGTAAAAATCTAACTTTTTCTCATTAAAACCACCGAAGAAAAGTGACAAAACGCCTGTTTTTTTTCATTTCCCTCCTGCTTTCTGCAGTGTAATCATCTTCCTTTAAAAAAAAAGAAAAAAACCTTCACCGGTGTTATGGAAATGCAGGTTTCTGCACCTCATTTAGCACAGAAACACTGATTAGAAAAAGGCAAAAATCGACTTTAATTCAAGTAATTTAAAAGTTGTAGAGAAAAACACAGACAGGCGCTTTATTCTGGCTGCTTTATCTTCTCTGGATTCCAATTTGCGACGTTTTAGCTGCATTAAACTGCATTAAATCCATTTTTTTCTCACTAAAACCACAGGTTTCTGCATCTAAGTTAGCAGAAAAACACTAATTAGAAAAGAAAAAACGAGGTTTAGTTCAAGTAATTGAAAAGTTTTAGAGAAAACCACTGACAGGCGCTTTATTCTGGGAGCTTTATCTTCTGTGGGTTCCAGTTTGCTGTGTTTTAGCTGCATAAAACTCCTAAAATCTCATTTTTTCTCACTAAAACCATATATGAAAGTGTTAAAATTCAAGTAATTGAAAAGTTGTAGAGAAAACCACTGAGAGATGCTTTATTCTGGCTGCTTTATCTTCTCTGGGTTCCAATTTTGGCTGCATAAAACTCTTAAAATCTCATTTTTCCTCACTAAAACCTTAGATGAAAGTGTTAAAACCCCTGTTTTTTGCTGTTTCCCTGCTGCTCCCTGCAGTGTAATCTTCTTCCTTTCAAAAGAAGGAATACCTTCACTGGTGTTATGGAAATGCAGGTTTCTGCACCTCATTTAGTACAAAAACACCGATCAGAAAGAGGCAAAAATCATGTTTAATTCAAATAATTGAAAAGTTGTAGAGAAAAGCAATGAGAGTTGCTTTATTCTGGCAGCTTTATCTTCTCTGAGTTCCAATTTGCAGCGTTTTGGCTGCATTAAACTGCATAAGATCTCTTTTTTTCTCACTAAAACCACAGGTTTCTGCATCTAAGTTAGCAGAAGAACACTAATTAGAAAAGAGAAAATGAGGTTTAATTCAAGTAATTGAAAAGTTGTAGAGAAAACCACTGAGAGATGCTTTATTCTGACTGCTTTATGTTCTCTGGGTTCCAATATACTGCAGTTTGGCTGCACAAAACTCATAAAATATCATTTTTTCTCACTAAAACCATAGATGAAAGTGTTAAAATTCAAATAATTGAAAAGTTGTAGAGAAAACCACTGAGATATGCTTTATTCTGACTGCTTTATCTTCTCTGGGTTCCAATTTTGGCTGCATAAAACTCTTAAAATCTCATTTTTCCTCACTAAAACCTTAGATGAAAGTGTTAAAACCCCTGTTTTTTGCTGTTTCCCTGCTGCTCCCTGCAGGGTAATCTTCTTCCTTTCAAAAGAAGGAATACCTTCACTGGTGTTATGGAAATGCAGGTTTCTGCACCTCATTTAGTACAAAAACACCGATCAGAAAGAGGCAAAAATCAAGTTTAATTCAAATAATTGAAAAGTTGTAGAGAAAACCACTGACAGATGCTTTATTCTGGCAGCTTTATCTTCTCTGGGTTCCAATTTGCAGCGTTTTGCAGCTGCATAAACTCTTACAATATCAT